CAGAAAATGGCGTCAGGTTTTGTGGAACAAAACGATGAAATCATCTGATTGCAGGTGGCTGTCAGAATTAAGAAACTAATGTATGGTGGTAACCATAGCACCTAGCTGACCTGTTGTTCTTTCTTGCGGGTGGATGGACCGTCAGATGTTTAGCACTAAAGGTCATTGACTTTTGGAAGGCTTTAGATCTGCGCGGTCGTTCCATGGCTCTTCACAACTGTTGCCCAGTTCATGAGAAGTCTTCACGGCTGCCGCACCGGTTGAGGGTAAATTTCAGAATGTATCACGCCGTAGTGCTATTGAGCTTTTGCGAGGGATCCCTCGAATGTTTAGGACTAAATCTGTGCTTGTCTACATTGTACATATTCATGTCCTTGTTTTATCGAGTAAACATACTTTCAGAAACCACTTGGTTTTGGCACTTCTTCGACTTCGTCTGTTTCAAAGCGAAAGAAGAGTCGTACGATCCCGCCTGTTTCAAGGGTACGAAAAATTACGAATGGGTCTGAGCGGAAGTCTAGTGGCAGTGGCTTGAAACTGAAATTGGCTTTCTCGGCGAAGAGCCGACAGAGTAAATCGTTTGGTGTTATTTCGAAGCCCACTCCAAAGAAAATAGATTTTGGAAGCAAAGAGAAGGCAAAACAAGGAAGCAGTCGAAAAATAACTCTCGCCGTTGAAAAGAACACCGATTTAGCACCAGCGCCAGAGAGCGAAAAAACAAAGTATTCTCCTTTTTTCCTGCGAGCCAAATGTGAAAAATGCAAAGAAAGCTGGGGAAAACCCTATAATTTGATAAATCACCTGATCTGTGATCACAATGCAAACATTTTTCATTTGCAGCGCGAGGTGATGACGGAAGTGAGTCAGGTGACCGAGGTGCTTTCCGGTAAAACGTGCAAGTTTTGTGAGGCAAAGTTCTTCGACACTTCATCTTGTATGATCCATGTTGTTCGCAGTCACCGAGCAAAAGTATTTGAATGTCCCTCAGACGGGCGACAGTGTTCGGTTTGCTTCGAGCTGTGCTCTCACAACGAAGGAGGAGTGGATAAGCGTTTCAAAATCAGCGTGAACGTGAAGCCATCGAATCAAGCTCGTTCAGAGGACCCGGTGTGATTAATTGCAAGAGTTCAATGATTTCTACCGTACTTACCTGAATTCTCCATATCTCTTGAACTTCGAACAAATTATCCAGCTAGAGATGAATGCATACCGTTTTGCGCAAAATGTTCTTACAGTATTACCTCATGCCTGTTGTTGTGTCATTCCCTATATGTACAGTAAATGTATGTATTTTGTATATTTATAGTTTAAATGTTCTTCAAGACCGTTCGTCTGGATGGATGACCTATTAAAGTGCTTGTAACGATTACTGTAAAAAATTAAAACTGTTTGGCGTT